GCAAAAGAGATTGTTTTGGGGGTAAGGAATTTAAGGCTGCACAACAAAAGCCTATTATTTAAGCGGCTTTGGAGATATAACGATGAAAGCAATAGGTTATGGAAACAACTCATAGATGTCAAACATGGCAGGAAGGATTTTTGGACTCCTCATGCAGTCCAATCCTCTTCCAAAGGGGGACTTTGGAGCACTATCAGTAGTCTATGGAATGAATGTAGTCAGTTTGTAAAGTTGAAGCTGGGGAATGGTAAAAATATCCAATTCTGGACTGGTGTATGGATGGGGAATGAAAGTCTCAAATCAAAATTTCCAGTTTTATATCGCTGCTTCTCTGACAAGAATGGGAAGGTAGCAGGCTTTTACTCAAGTAATGGCTGGCAGTTGATCTTCAGGAGGGGCCTTAATGACTGGGTAGTAGATTAATTCGCTCAGTTAATGCAATTGCTGGACAGTGTCAGTTTGGAGGGCAATAGGAGAGATTCAATGATTTGGGCAGCAAGTAATGATGGGAAATTCATAGTTAGCAGAGGTTATACTCTTTTACAGAAGCAACAAGAGAGGTATGAATCTGATTGGCCATGGAAAGCAATAAGGAAATCAAAAGCTCCTGTTAAAGTAGCATGTTTTGGGTGGGTGGCAGCAAAGGAAGCTTGTTTAAGTCAGGATAATCTACAGAAGAGAGGAACTATTTTAATTAATAGATGCTATATGTGTGAAGAAGAATTAGAAACAGTCGATCATCTCCTCATTCATTGCAAAGTGGCAAGACAGTGTTGGGAGCTATTCCTTGGTTTGTATGGTATCAAATGGGTTATGCCACAAAATGTAATAAGTCTGCTGGAGACATGGCAACATCAACAAGTAGCAAGAAGTCAGCAGGCAGTGTGGATAACAATCCCCCTGTGTCTTATGGACAACATGGTTGGAGAGAAACAGAGTTCTTTGAAGGGATAAGACAGCATGTATCCAGGATTAAATATAGATATCTTTTGAATTTGTTTTTTTTTTTTTGGTGTAAAAGGAGTGTTATTGAAAATCTAGAATAATACATAGATTTCTTGGAGGAGATAGCTGGTTTGTAGTTGATAAGTATAATGGCAGTTTTTGGTCTGGTGTAACTCTACCATCTTGGTACCTTCATTAATAAAACTTCACCTTATCAAAAAAATAAAAACATTGTTAATTGAGATATATAGAACAATTGCAATCAGCAATAGCAACTTTGACAAGTTTAACCTCATTCAAGACCTCTATTCAACAAAATGTTCAAATGCTTCACTACAACATAAACTATAGAAACTTACCGGCAACGTAGTTTGTCCGGCTTCATCCATGATACACACATCAAATCTCTTGTTTGAAAGCAATGGGCTAGTTATCCCCAAACACGTAACAGCAACAACTTTGCTTTGCTCTATCCTTTGCTTTATCTCTTCAAGACCATGAGTGTCCATCACTGTAGGAGAAAGTCCAGCAGTAAATTAGTATTCTGTGGGCCAATCATGAAGCAAACTCTTTGACAAAGTTACCAGAAACCAACTTGATAAGCAATTCTCTCGAACTTCCTCGTGTACAACCTCATATCTTCCAATACGAATAAAATCTATACCCTGCAACAGTATATATGTTAGTCCCGATGTCCACTGAAGTGGTAATGCAGTAGGATTTGTATGTAAATGTAAAAGCACTACATTACTTGTGTCTTGTGGTTGGCAGTGCCAATCAGCAGAAGCATACCAGAGAATGAAAGCACTAGGAAAAATAAATGATACTCCGTAATATGTAGGTGAAGCATGTCGAGAAATCATTCCTAGCAGGACATTTCAGAAAATCATGCCCTTAGAGGAAGAAGAAAAGAGAGATTTTCCTCGATAACGCTTATATGTCAGTCAATCAGCTTCATTTTACTTGCAGAGAGGCTGCATATAGTTAAATGTCTAAATGGATAAAAAGAAGGATCTTTAACTTGATACATTTATACACGAAGAGGTAATTGCGTTATTTTTTACCTTAGAAATCAGCAGGCTCTGGATTTGATCTAAATGTATGTTAGGATAGGGCTGCTCGGTGGGCCGGGCCTGAACCGGACCGGACCGGACCGGGCCCGCGGTCCTAACGGGCCTGGTGGTCCGGTCCTGGGTGGGCCGGTCCTGGTGGTCCTCCTGAGCCCGTCACGGGCCGGTCTTCAAGTTTGAGCCCACGAGCCCGGGACCGTTTAGCCCGGGACCGTCAGGCGGGCCCAACGGCTATTTTTTTTTTAAAAAAAATTAAAATTCTCCAACGGCCATATTTAAAATCTAGCCGTTTGGGCCGAAAATATGACCGTTTTTAAGTTTAAAAAATGGCCATTTGGCCTCCGAACTTTATTTTAACCCCAAACTTTATATAATTACACTTTTCCCCATTTCTCAACTATAAA